GTCATTGGCAATGCCAATAACGTCATTATCTGCCATGTCAACTTCTGCCTCTTCTTCGTCTATCTATATTCCTTCTTCTAGCTCTAATCCTTCTAACTCTGGTATGTCATCCAAAATAAAAGGAGGAAGGCTCCGTGGCAAATTTCCAATAAGTTGAAATCTCTTTAGCACTCTGAGAGTTCTTTCAAGTTCAAAATCTCCTCTATAGACTGGGTGCAACAACTTGCACATATAACAACTAAACACATGTCGTGACACCAGAGTACAAGAAATGTTAAAGGCTCAAATGCTTAAATAATAAAAAAGATATAGTAATGAATACAAACTCAAAATGTAACTTGGCATTCTCCGACAACGGCGCAAAAAACTTGTTTCTTGTAAATGTGTCACATGCAAATATACATGTATGTTTAAAAGTAGCAAGTGATAAAAAGTAAGGATATCATGCCCATAGAGAGTGAATTTTACTAAGGTTGATTTTGTAATGAGTTATCTTTTGACTTTAAGCATGAACAAGGATAAAAATAATATATGAATGTCACAAGTTCAGTTTCTTTTCTTCTTTAGAACATATCCAAACATTGCAAGGTGAGAGTGAAATGATATCAAGAGAGTGCATGTTGAGCTAATATCCATTAATGTTAATGAAGTAACTATGTGTTCAAGATGTGCAATGTCATGCCATGAAAGGTCAAAGTGATCTAGAGGTGTATTTCTACAGCATCAAAACATGTATTACTAAGGCAATGAAACAAATCTCTAAGTCACGATTATAACCCTAAAATATGTCTGTGTGTATTATGACGTCCCTTATAGCTGTAGTTCCTTGTCTATAACTGAACTAATCAAGTGAATATCTCTATCCTACTCTTTTCAACTACTTTTATCATGAAATCCACTTGTTGTTGGATCTCTCATAACAACAAGTTATTATCTTTTTCTAAGTTGATAATTCAAAGAATTAGATTTATAAGCAAGTTAACATATAATAAAATAAGGCATTAAATAACATATTACTTAACATAGAAACAACATAACATTAACTTTCCATTGCTCAACATACAAAAGGTTTAGCTCATGATGAGCTGAGTACAAACTACAAACAAGGTTCTTAAAAGATACATTCTCACACAAATACTGAAAAAGAAATGTAAACATAAGAGTAACGTGAAGACATTTTGAGATGGATAATCGGCAAAAGATGACTTCAGTCGCGCCAGGGCTCAGCAGATGGTATAAGAAATGGTGAGAAGAAGAACTATATTTTCTCTCCATTAAGCTCACACTATTATATCCTGTCTTATGATTTGGAATAATGATGAACTCCCTTTACAGTCTTCAGCAAGGTCTGTTTATAATCCTCCACTAGGGTTTCTTGTGGTGTCTTGGATCATGGGCCAAAATAAGGAGATCATCCCAAGCCCATTAACAGAATCAACGTTTTTCTCAATATTATTTCTGCTGAGCCTCTAAGGAATTAGGTACAAGAGAACAATTATGAGAGACAAAGTATCTTATGACAGGCTACCACAATAGGGTGCAGAAGACACCGTCCTTTCTTGCAGAACGTGTAAAATAGTGGTTGTATTATTGTACCATCTTTGTCTTCTAGCGCCTCTTTGATCTTTTCCACTTAATTTAAATGAATTTCCCTTAGTACAAAGCAAAGTTTTTCTCTAATACGTCATCCCTTCCAAGCTTTCCCTAGGAACTCAACCGCTTTCTTCATTTCTTTGGCAAAGTCCGTCTTCCTGGTTCAGCTTGCACTCTCAGGTGTTGTCCACTACAGTTTTTCCTTCCAAGCTTTCTGAACCGTTATTGGTTGAATCAGATATACGTACAACCATAGTAGAATGTATGCCAAAGATGAGAAAAGTCAATCAACAAGTTCATGTTTAAATATAAACCACACTTAAGATAAACGATTTCCAATGGCAAGTAAAATAAAACTTGACTAAGAAATTTTGTCGAACATTTAATGTGCAGTAATTTTATCGAACACTCGGTGTGCATTACACCAAACTTAATTCTCTTTGTGTTGAAGTTATAACAAATCAATTACAATGACTTAGATTGCAATGGTTTCACAAAAACAGTTTTATACACTTCAACACAACCATACTTTTCAACAATTCAAATTACACACTAATTATTCTCAAAATCCCAAACCCTATGTTTGATGTTGATCATAGCTCCTTCTCTACCCTTGATCTCATTAAGATCAAGTCACACAAGATCTCTAATATGATCCTCTAGTTATCACTACTCCTTAGACCAAACCATCGTTCTTTAAAGATTTCACTCGGCTAAATTCAAATTACAAAATCTTGCCCCCAAGTCTTTCAATTGATCCTCTAGTTACCGCTACTCCTTTGTAAGAATCCCCGTTCTTCAAAGTATTCGCTTGGCTGAGTCCAAGTTGACAAGACATGTACAAAAACCTCCAAATCAACCCTTGATCTTGGAGTAAAAACCCTAAAGGTTTTATCCTCAAATCTCCCAAAGAAAACCTCAACCCAATTTGATTACACAAATCTAAATTAGACCTTATCAATCTTGTCTTGACAATAAACAACAAAAATGATCATGTGTAGTTGATGAATGCGTCATAGAAGGTTGGACATGATGATAATTCTTTGTATCTTTCAAGTTTCAATGCTTATAAATGATGCATGAATGTGTATTTATATGTATGTATGTGTATAAAATAAATAACAAACAAAACAGATTTTCTTGGTAAAAAATACAAGTTTTAAAAATATTAAGTCAATACATGTATTTGCTCAAAACAGGATGAATTGACTCTAAATTCGAGTGAGTCAATACATAAGGCTAATGAGCCAATACGAAGCCCTAATGAGTCAATACATCAAAGGTAGAAAAGTATGCAAAAAAATTGCTTTAGTGTGAGCCGACTCCAAGACAGGATATTGACGCATTCATAACTTGTATCGATACATACAAAGTAGGGCTGGTTTGGTTAAAAATTTCTTTCAGATTGAGTCGACTCCAACTACAGATGAGTTGACTCATTCGCAACTTGTATTGACTCATCCTCAGCTTGTATCGATACATACAAGACATAATCATTTCTTTTAAAAATCACTTTTGTATGTATCGACTCATTGACAACTTTTTCATGAAAAATCATATAATTTTTATCATGTTATGACCTATTGAATCTATTTTTACATGTCCTATAATGATGATGCACATCTAGACAAATAGTATAAGGTTCAACATACATAAAGAGTTAAGCTATGTAGTTTTGACATCAAACAAAACCTATCTAAAAAAATATTGCACTCACACCTTCAACTATATAGGCACTGCAGAAAACAAAAAAAAATAAATTTACAAGTGCATTCATCAGAAAAATGCTTTCAACCTTATTATTTTAAATCTTCTCTATATGGAAATTTCACAAAGTCAACCTCTTCCAACAATATCAAGGATTTTAGAATCTTGAAAGCTTTTAAGGTCCGTTCTCATCCTCCAAAAGCCACATATATCATTAAGTCATATGGAAGCGGATCAAGTGTAACATGGATGACACATCTCTTAGATTCTCTGATCGTGTTGCTTGTGGCAGGATTTTTAAAGACCATTCTTCCATCTTCATTGGTTGTTTTGTAGAAAGCTTTGGAGAGAACTATGTTCTTCATAGAGAATTTATTGGAGTTATGAAGGCGGTTGAAATAGCCTTTGAAAGCAATTGATGTTATTTATGGATCGAGAGAGATTTCAAGTTGGTGTCTCTAGCTTTCAACAACATCAATATAGTTTCTTGACAACTTAAAAATAAGTGGTTGAATTGTATATATAAAACTAATAGCATGATTTTTATTTTGTCTTATATATTTAGAGAAGGAAACTGGAAAGTTAACTTTATTAGACATTTTTATTTAAAATTTTGTTTGGGGGAGTGAAGCTCATTTGTCTGCTATGATTCATAATAGGTTTGGACGACCTTGATTTCGTGTTTGTTAACCTTTGAAGGTTTTGGTTAATTTTCCCTAATCTTTTTGTTTTTTTATTTATATAATTTTGATTGATAAAAAAATTTGAAAGTGTATTAATGATATTTTTTACTCAATATCTTTAATTATTATTAATTTTCTTTTTTACAATTTACATTAAATACTCTCATACAAATATTATTACAGTTCTCTCTTTTAACTATAAATTTATAAAATTATATAAATAATCAATAAATCAATAAACTTAATCCTCCAACAATTCTCTTAATTACAATGTTTTACTACAAATGACTTTTTTTACAAAAGATCTTATATTTTGGAATTGAGTAGTTTATTATACGTCAATAAATTAATATGTCATGTGCATGTCTATTATCATCCGTTTTTAAATATAACTTTAAAATATGAAATTTCATCAAATGTTAGTTTAAATCTAATTTACATCGATATACGTCAAATATTTCTTAATTATTTTTAGTGAAATAAAACAATATGACATCAATATCTAACTTATATGGTACTAAATCACATTTATATTTTAAAATTATTTAATTGACATGATTGATTAGTAATATTTTTTAAACAATCGCATAAAAAATATTTGACACCCGTCAGCGCACATCATATCAGTTAATCGCCTATTTTAAAATCAATTAACAAAAGTTTAAAATTAATTTTGTCTATATATCAATATTGAGATACCTAAACGAAAAAAAAAAATTGAGATTCCTAACAATTTTCCATAAACTTTGTATCAAAAATTAGTAACACTAGCAAAATTTCCTTAACAATACATATGCACGTGTAAAATAAAGTGATTGTTCATGAACATTGATCATAAGATTTGTTGGCGTAAGAATTAGTTCTACATTATCGACTATACGTGTAAAAATCTTTGTTATGATATGACCTCATAATCTTCATCGTCATCCTTTTCCTAACAAACACTCTTCTCATTTTTCCTATAATAACAACATTTCATTTTCTTATTCTTCCAATCTCTTCTTTCCGCCATTTCTCATGAGTTTCTTCAAATCCGTTTTCTCCGACGACCCTAACCCTTCCGGTTCCGAAGAATCCAACAATGCTCCCCACCGTGAGTCGCCAGACGCGCCGGTCAGTCCTTCCGGCGCGTGGAATTTGGGTAACATAATCAAAACCCTCAGCGAAAAATCGGAAACCGTCATCGAAGTTTACCGTCGCGATCTTCAGGAATTCGGCACAGGTTTGAAGAAAGAGATAGAGGTCGCTCACGGCTCCCTCGAAACGGTGGGACACGTCATCGACCGATTCGGAAACACCGTTATTAAAGGAACGGCTCAGATTATATCTCAAGGGAAAGACGCGATCCTCGATTCCGATTCTGATTCGGACAATAGCAACAACAATAAAGATAAGAGACATAGTAGTTTCAATTCGAAGCTGTATAATAGATTTGATTCTCGGGTTCGTGCGATTCAGGGTGATGCTAAGACTTTCACGGAAGAACCGTTGGATTTGGAGCGTTATAATAAGTGGAAATTGGATTTTTCGTTGGAAGGGAAAATTGAAGAAATGGTAGGGCTTCTGAAAGAGAATGAGGCTATGGAGAGTGTTCATAAAAGAGTGGTTCCTAATGTTGTTGATAGTGAAACTTTTTGGTTAAGGTATTATTATAAGCTTTATAAGGTTAAGAAAGCTGAGGATGTTAGGGCTAGGCTTGTGAGACGAATGTCGAGGGAAGACGACGAAGAGTTGAGTTGGGACGTTGAAGATGATAAGTATGATGATGATGATGATGATGATGATGATGATGATGATGAAGATGATAATGATGAGAAGAATGGAAGAGAGGGTGGCTTTGATGGTAATGGTGTTGTGGGAGTTAAGAGATTGGATGATTCTGATGAGGAAGAGACTAAGGTTGAAAAGAGAAATAGTATATCAGAAAACAAGATGAAGGAGGAATCAAAAGTTAATGAGAATTTGGAGCTTGTTCAAGAGAAGGGTGATGGAAGACAAGTGGATGATGTTAAGGATTCTGTAGTTGATTCAGATAAGAGAATGACAGTAGAGAGTAATGTTGGCCATGGAAAGTCATTACCGGTTGTTAGTCGGGACAAGGAGCATGAGGAAGTGGAGGAGAAAGATCTTGAGTGGGATGAGATTGAGGAACTTGGTAGATTTGACGAAAAGAAGGGAATGGGGAGTGGTAGTCCAAGCAAAATTGATATTCGGAAGCGCCTGAGTTCGGCCGCGGAAGAAGAAGACTTGAGTTGGGATATTGAAGATGATGATGAAGATGAGCTTACCAAGGCTTGAGGTATATTCATGTAAGTCTGACTCTGGTATCAGAAATTTAGCATTTCATTTTTTATCTATACATGTATAGATTTCTTAGAAGTAGTTGTCTCATTGTTCAACATCTTACTATTGTATGAAAAAGTATTTGTTTTACAGAAATGATATTTAGACACGTTTATTAACATCAGATACCACAATAATAACGTTTTAATCTGTTTTATTGATGTGTTTACTTTAACAATGACATGAACCTATGCTTCTTATTGCACCAAACATCAAATAGTAGAACAACTAACTACAAAAATACAGTATATTCTCTTAAAAAAATAATAATGATCAGAAAATGGGTGCTTCTATCGCAAGTGATGGGATCACTTGTGCATTGCAAAATAATAAAACCTCAACTATAAGCATTTACATAAAATAGTAATAATCATAAATATGCGATATTCTTCTAGACCAATCCCGCAGATATTAATATAACCACTGTAAATTAAGTAGATGACTGTGACCAAACATCCCCGTGATGATTTGATGTCTAAAAAGATATAGAATAACCATTCATACAAAATTTCAACCTCGGATATTAATTCACATTTTGCAAAATTACGAAGCTAAGCTTCTCCAAAATCCAAATCCTATAAGCTGATCAAAATCCACAATAAACTATGCATGAACACTAAAGTCTACGTTTTCTAAAAGCAACTACAAGGAAAAATGTGAAGAAATGTTTGTACAACAAAATAAATTACTCCAGAATCCAGAGTGTATGTATAACTGATGCATGAAACCCCGTTCTCGACTCTAGTTTCTTTAAACCCAAGGCTGCTCTGAGTCTGAAATCATATCTATCCTTCAACAGCAATGGTGGGTTCAGAAGTAGATCCTTCCCTGTGTGATTCAACAAGGGAAGGTAGTGCCATAACCCGTCCTTTATGGGCACGTGGTGGAAGATACCTTGAATGTTTCCTGGGATGTCCTTTCCAAGGCAAGAAAACTCCAGTCCCGCCTCGAGGAAGTTTGCTGGGATTCATTGTCATAGGGTGCATAGGGGCTAGCATGAACATTGGAGGACCAAACATACCCAATTTGGGGATCATACCCATAGCCTCGTGGCCACTTATCGGCCCATTTGGCAAAGCAAGTGGACTGGCAGTGCCAGGTTGCCAAACTGTCATCGCGGTTGTCGTCATTGGAGGAGGGTTTGTTGATTGGCCTTGATAAGAGCCTTCTTTCACTCTAAAAAACGTGATACTCACCCTTTTGTTAGGGGATGGACACATCACATGCCTTGCCATGTCAGCGCTGTTACCTCTCATCACTAAAAGAGACCTGCAAGGTACTTCATTAACTAAATAGGTTCTGTAAAATATATACTCAATTTTATAGGCCAAAAGAAAAAAAATGAAACTGTAATAACAGTATCTACAATGATTATCAGTGTTTATTGATAGGTCCTCCAAAATGGGATGGAACATTTGTTAAATCACCATACCAAACTCATATTCTAACATTCCCTGAGAACATGTCAGAACTTTGAGACTTTAATGTTGAGGAACTTAATCCTTACTGAGAAAGGAGAGCTTAACCACTTTAAAAACATAACATGATATGAGAAAAAATTGTTTATAGGAAAGTTAAGCTTTCCACCATCAAAGTGGAGACTTCTAACTAGACCTTGTGCAAATACTGAAAATTTGAAACCAGGTGTTAGTGTCATATCTGCTATCTAGCAACTGATGTTTACTAGGCAAGTACAATTTGTTTTTATCCCCCTCAAGTATCTGCAATTTTCTGTGCTATTCACTGAAAAATGAAAAAGGAACGATGCAATATAGCCAAGTGGGCATTTATACGAACACATAGTTCCATTCCATCCTCTGCCTTTGTTTGTATCGAGCAATGTTACTAGTATCTTAAAAATCATTGGAAGACGAGGATTAAAATGAGTAGAACTTTTTTGATGCATACCCTTGCTTCAAAGTTAGCATGAGTGGACCTTTGTAATTCCCATCATTTTCACTCATAAGAATACGCCCAAAAGCCATGGTAGACTCAGAGAGAAGAAGGGTAGATAGAGGTTGATCCAAATGCGGTGGTTTCAAGAATGGCTGAGAAAACTCCCCCTGCAAATTACAAAATTGTATAGGCATTCCTAAAATAATCACAGCATCTGTTTTCACAAAACTAATCAAGTAATTGAGTTTTGACTAAGCAGGAAGCATGAACAATTTTTTACCTCTTCAAAGAAGTTGATAATGCAACCATTTGGCCTGGTGTACTCTGGAATTAATTGCCATTGAATAAGGTGATCAATGACACCATGAAGAAGTGATGGAATTGGCTCAATTTGGCCTGTATACCAAAACAAGGAAAAAAAGCAGAAATTTATACTTTTCTTATTATTTAGAGTAATTTCTTTTTGCAATATGTGATTAGAAAAACCAAATCACAGTTTTGTTAATAATGGTAAGGTATAGGAAACTATCAAATCTTTTATTTACTAAGTTCTTACTTTTGGCATTGTCTTTTATCTGTCCAAATATGGGTACACCTAACTGAATCAGCTCCCTTTTGTTCCCCTTTACCTGTTTGTTAAATAGTATAAAGGTTTCACCTGCATTTTATTGAAATAAACTTTGTTAGTATGTTAAATATTGTAAACAGTAGGATGCTAGTTTCTATTGATCATCATCCCAAAGTTAGTCTTGTCGGCATCAAAGTTAAATACAAACCCTTAAATTAAGGATAACATTGTGCTTGACAATTGACATTGCATGTACTAAATTGACTTATAAAATAAATTGAAAGAAGTTCTGTCCATTATTTAGGTCCCAAATCCCAAACATATTAAACCTACAAAATTCACCTGAAAGTTCTCCGTTCTGGCCAGCAGCATGGATCTCTTTCACAAAATCAGTCAGCTTGCAAAGTTGTGATTCAGAGAAAACATCCTCATACAGTCTCAATCCTTTCACAGCATTCACCTGCTAATTGCAATAACCCAACAATGAATAATATCCAGCTGCTTCTCTATCACAAAAACTACTCATATCGGATCTATAAATCCTATCTTCTTTATTAAAAACAATGTATTTCAGTTTGTGAACAAATGAACTTGCCGGATGCCCCTTCACGAATTCCTTTGTTGTGAAACCTTGTGTCAACTTTATCTCTGAAGGACGTCCTTCACATTCTTCATGATTTGAACATATACTATTGTTGATAAAACTGTGTTGCACTTCCAGCAATCCTGCACACCAGACCAAAAAAAATCCAAACAAATTGCATCATTCCAGCACAGCCATTAGAATGAAATTTCATCATTGCAACACTTGTTTTTACAGTGTGATTGTTCAGAAATTATTTGCCGTCTAACAAAAACCAGTTTGATTTACAAAACACCAAGGACCCCACGCTACTGTCAAGGTAATGGCGACAAATTGAGAAGCAGGCCAAATCAACAAACAAACGTAACATGGTAGCAACAATCACTGTCCCCCCATTTTGTATGAATATGAACACATTTACTATACAATTTATACATTTTGTTTTTTGTTTTTGTTTCTTATGTATGAAACATTTTTTAAACCATTCATTGGATCCATCACCCATTAAACCCCGAACGAGCAGAACAAAGTTGACCCTGTTGAATTGAATCTCATAGGGAATAGCACCAAATTCGTCAAAACCCCAACACTACCACCAACCCTCACACTCACCCAGATCCAAACCCGCACGTGGTGCAATACATAGAATCACGTGACGTCAGGCTCTGTTGGTTCCGCCGTCGGTGTAATAATATCATTTGCATACATCTCGAGACGTTTCCAACATCAAAATTGCACTATTCGCCCCTACTCTTCCAACTTAACTGTAACATAACGCCAAATATAACAAACAAAAATACAAAACTGCGTTGGAATTAAATTATCAACCATATATCTATTTTCTGCGTGCAATTACTTTAATTTTTCATGAAATGCGTGCAATTACTTTAATGTACTTTTAGATTAAACGCCTTTTGTAATGATTTTTGCTTTGCCTGAAAGCAAATTAAAGAGTCTTCGAAATAAAATTAATCAAAACGTTGAACGGCAGAATTTGACTTCTAAGCAAAGCATTCATTCAGAACTTTGCCATGATTCTAGAACTAATTATTATACTAAACTTTAATTTAATTTTCATCTCCAATAAATAAACACAATAAAATTAAATAACCAAAACAGTTATCTCATGGAGCTTGAAAATTGAAATTAACAATGAATACAAATATGAAAATAAAAATAACTAATCGATAATTAGAGCTTTACTTAAAGATATTAATTATAATAATTAAACAGAAGATCGATGTACTTAAAATAATGACCTGAATCAGTGATCTCACTGTCCGGCGAATCGTACTCCGCCGGAGCTTCATCGCCGTCTTTTTCGACATTAGTTTCCGGTTTCTCATCAACACCGTCTCTCTCTACGATTTTCGTCTTTCCATCAACCGATTCGATTTTCTTCTCAGCAACATTACGCAGTTCGAGAGTAACATCAGCTATAGAGTGATACTTCTGCATCTGGAGGACAGGGATCCAATTGAGACGCCTGTGATGGATAGCAGCAAACGCCGAGTCGTAATCGTTGGAGGACGAAGCAACCTGCGCGAGATGACCGCAAAGAGCGTCGATGATTGCGTTAGCAGCCGCAAACTCGCCACGATACCATGCGAGAATGGCGTCTTTCGCAAACGCGTCAGAAACTAACAACGGCGGTGGCAATTGAGAGGGCACCTGCACCGTTTTCGGTTGATCCGCCCGGGATTCTTGGATAGCCGCCATGGCTACTGTTGAATTAAAGTGGTGGATCAATTAACAAAGAATAGCAAAGTGGAAATGAAAAAAGAGAGAAAAGTGAGAAAAATGAGAGAGATTTTTTTTATTTTTTTTTTGGAAGAATGGGTTTTAGTTTTTCTTTTCCGTTTAAAACCTTTCGAAATTGTGTCACATGCATGTGTTGATGCCTTGATGGAGAAAGGGTTTTAGGAATTAAGGTAGAGCGTTGCGTAATGCTGAGTTTTTTTTTATTGTTAAAATTCTAACGTGGCAACCTTGCCACCTTGCTTTATTCACGTTGTTATTTTTCTTTCTAGAAATATATATATATATATATATATATATATATATATATATATATATATATATATATATATATATATATATATATATATATATATATATATATATATATATATATATATATATATATATATATATATATATATATATTTGAAGATCAACTAATTCCAAAAATAAAATTTTTTTAACTTACTTTAAATTGTACCCTAATCTAATAATTAATTTAACTATAAAATTAGATACAATTCACAAACTATAATTTATAGTAAATTAAAAGAACTTACTATTCATTAAATTAAAAAAAAAAAATATATATATATATATATATATATATATATATATATATATATATATATATATATATATATATATATATATAATTTATTAAAAGTGAGGTTTAACTTATTGAAGAGTAAGTTTATCTAATTTATTCCAAATTACAATCTATAAATTGAACTGAATTGAATGGTTAAGATTTATTTAATTGAAATTTAGCATTTTTATTCGACTAACTATACGATTAAATATAAATTACTTTAAATTATAATTTTAAATTAAATTAAATCTAATAATTAATATTTTTATTTAATTATAATTAGCATTTTTATTCAATTAATTATTTGATTAAATCTAAATTAAAGAATATAATTTTGAGTAAGTTAAAAAAATTTATTTTTTTAAATTAGTTGAACCAATATATATATATATATATATATATATATATATATATATATATATATGGTCAATTTGTGTAAGAAATGATACTCAATATTTAACAAATAAGAAATAATACTGAGATATATTAAACATATATGTAAAATTTTATCTTTTGAATTTTGCTATTAATTATTTATTAGTCATAAAATGATATGAAATATATTCTTAATATTTGATTTGCATACATAGGATTCTATCTTTTAGTAAAAGTTCAAAATCAAAATTAATAGGAAATTCACTTTTTCTAGAAAGAGATTGAGAATTGTCACCGTAAAAAAAATATAATACAAATTAAATAAAATTGTATCAATTTTTATTAGAAAATTGAGACCGGTCTAACCAGACGTTTTCATGATGACCAAAAGATTCATATCTAAAATGAGGGTTCAATTGTCGAGAGAAATTGTCAAGAGGTTCTTCGAAACTGTGGAGCAATTCTTTGCTAAAAATGATAAGGTTAAATCATAGAAATGTCTAAACTCGCATCGAAACTCAAGACACTAAAGTTAGAACTTTCTAAGGAAATGATTTAATTGTGCATTTGGTTTGGATCTCTCTCCCGACATACTTTGGACAATTCAATGTGAGTTATAAAACTCAGAAGGACAAATGGTCTCTCAATGAACTTATATATTATTGTGTGCAGGAGGAAGAAAGATTAAAGAGAGTGAAGAGTGAAAGTGCTCACTTGGCTAATAACTCTTAAAATAAAAGGAAGAATAATGTAGGAATTTTTCTCAAAATAAGAAGGTAAAGGAACAACCTAATGAGTCCACTTGCTTCTTTTACAAAAAGACTAAACACATGAAGAATGAATGTTTCAAGTACGCCACATGGTGTGAAAAAAAGGATAATTTTCTCACTTTTTCTTGTTCTAAAATTAATTTAGTTTCTGTACCTAAGGATACTTGGTGGATACATGTGATAATTTTCTTAGGCACATGAGTATGTCCATGCAGAATTCTCTGTGGACACGTCCGCCAAATGATACTGAAAGATTCATCTATGTGGGCGATGGCAATAAAGTTGCAATAAAAAATTGATTTTCATTTGGATTTGTTTGATACTTTTGTTGCACCGTCTATTACATAAAATGTAATTTCTATTTATATTTTGGACTAACCAGGTTATACTTATTTGTTTAGAAATAATAAATTTAATCTCTCATATAGGGATGACAAAAAAATACGTACCCGTGAATAAAACTCGTCACTGATATAGGGCGGGTAGTTTAATGAATATTTACGGATAAAATAAATGAATATTTAAATACGCGTTTTTTAATGGATATGGATACATGTTTAATGATATCGTGCCCGCAGATATCCATATCCGTTAATAAATTATAAAAATCATTAGTTTATTATACTCTATATTTTTATCTTCTAAAAAAAATTAGTCTTCTTACATTTTTTTTTTAATTTTCTTTGAAGAAAATCTTTTACATTTCATTCAAATTCTATTATTCATTTTATATTTAAACTCTTCAATACTTCATACCCCCACTTCAACAATTTCACAGTCCAACCAACTAGTGTTGTCATTCTTCTGTCAAACTAGTGTCTCCCTTCCTACTACTTCATCGTTCGCTCTTCCATTATAACTCACAATCAGAATATCTTTTATTTGTTTGGTTAAAAATGAAATGTATGGATATTATGTTTTGATCTAATTATGTTTTGGTGAATAAGAAGAAAATTAATGTAGTGAAATTTTATTGTTAAATTAATATCAGATTGTATGGATGTTATGTGATAATAACTTTTTGTGTCTTTAAAAGAAGTTAAAGATATTATCCATGCATATATTTAGATATCCACGGGTACTGTAAAACTCATGAATTACCCGCTTAACGAATATTTGCATGGATATGGAGCGGATATGAATATCATATTTATCCAACGGGACGGATATGGATATCATAGTATCCGTTTCCATGGATATCCACTTGCATCCTTACTCATATGATTCAAATATTGTTGGTTATGGTTCTTTGAATGATAATTTTTATATGCTTTATTATGAATGTCCTTATAACAAAATAATACAGATAGAGTCACATTGTAATACCCCGTGTTTAATAAAATGCTATAAATAATATTAGTTGAGGTCAACTAGGTTCTAGTGTGCTCTGAGAGTTATCTGTGGGGATAATTGAGTAACTGATGAACTCAGAATTGACTTAATTAATATTATTTGACTCTGAGGTTTTGTTAATTGGTGCATTATAGACTTTTAGATACACTTTTATTTGGACTTTTAACCAAGTTGGTCTTACTAACTTCTAATGAGATATTTCTAAATATCATTTTTTTATTTCTTTTCCCATTGCCCTTTTTCCAACTTCGTGGAATAAGTAGTAAGAGAAGGAAAAGAAAGAGAAGAAGTGGAGGAAGAAGAGAAAGTAGAAAGAAAGAAGAAGAAAATCTAGTAAAAGAGGAATCATCACCACTCATCGTCAAATCATCTCATCTTCATCATCAACAACTTCTTCATCATCTTTTAGAGGTGGGTTCTAGGTAGAAATTCAAGGTTAGAGTATTTTGTTAGAATGAGAAAGTTAGGTTAGGGTATTTTGTTCCCTTTCCATAAGAAATGCATATTTCATGCTATTGTTGTGTGTTTATGGTTTAAAATGTTATTTCATGAGTGTTTGTGTCAATATTGGTGATGGTTTGAGGTTGGGTAAGAATGGGGGTTGAAACCCCTTTGAGCTAAATGTTTTATGTTAGCAAGAAATTCTGGAACACAGGGTTCGCATTGCGAACAAAGGCGAATGACCAGCGAACATGACAGTCATGTCATGCTCGCACTGCGAGTGTAAGCGAAGTTGAAGGCGAAGGTTCGCCCAACACTCACACTCTGATCAAGGGACCTTTCGCTACTGCCATTTTCATTTTCTAGTTCGCTCAGAGTTTGCACTATGAACTCAAAGTAAAGGAGCTCGCTTGGGCTTCGCACTGCGAATGTAGCAGTGTTTTTCCCTTTTTGTTTTCTTGTTTCTTGGTTGTCTTCCATACATGAATATTGTTACTTTACCTTGATTATTATTAATGATATGTATGTGTAATTGTGGGTTGGTGAATTGATTAAAATGATGATATGTGATTAAAAAGAACTAAGAAAGAGTGCGGAAAACCTTGTCACAATTCAATAGAATGACCTAATGGTGTTGTCACGGTGAGAATCAGAGACCATAGCTATTAGGTTAGCTAGGCTTCACAAATCTTAAGATATCACCACCGATCTTTAATTTATCCAAGGGAAGGGGTAAAGAAAGAATAACCCATAAATATGAAATGCAATTAAGAGAATCTAAGGTTCAGGGTTGGTTATACTAAGAGAAGGTATTAACACCGTAAGTATTTATAGTACTCTATAGGAACCTCTTGTTTAATTGTTTTATTTGTTTATTTTCTAATTGGGTTAGATTGGGGAGATGAGAAGAGAAAGGTTTTTTTTAATTGTTTTTGTGTTTGGCAAGACGCAAAGTCTTGTGCCTATGTACCAATAAAGGATCAAAACCTCGTAGTTTGTGGTACAAATTGAAAAGTATTTGTTATGATGGATTTTAATTGAAGGAGAAACAAGTTGTCATCCAAAGGAGAATACTCATCTAAACCATCATAAATATGTGGAAGAGGGATTTTTGCTTCACATTAAGAGAAGGGCTCTAACTTGGATTGCATTCAACAAGTATGCCACATACCTCTCTTAAGTGGAAAAGAATCAAGCTCTTTCTCAATCATGTTATGAGGTACGGGATTTAAATCTCAACTACATAGATGACTCATGTCTAATCTATTTGAAGAAAGGTTTTAAAGTTGAAAAGTCAAAGGTGGAAAAAGGTTTGAATTGAGTTTATGTTTTTTAGTCTTTTGAAATAAGTTTGAATATGCTTAAGTATTTTAAAGCATTTAATTAAGAAAATAGTTTGAAAAGATCAATGACCAAGGGTCAATGTTTTTTATGAAAGTGATTTTGAG